AAGGGGTGGCGGGGTCGCTGAAGCGGTTTTGGCGCAGGTGGCGGCGATGGAGGCGCCGCTGGAGGCGGAGCTGGAGGCGGAGCTGGACCTGGAGGGGGCGGAGCTGGAGGAAGTGGATGGTGAGAAGGGGCGGGGGCCTCAGGGGGCGTTTATGAATAATTCATAAGGGGCGTGGCTTTCTCCGAAGAGAAACGAGGGGTGCGTTCAGAGTGGGCGTGGTTTAAGGGTAGAGGGGCGTGGTTTTTACCTTATTTGGGCATGCATCGCCGCTGGGGGCGTGACCACCAGCCTTATATGGGCATGACTCACAAGCTGAGGACGCATTGCCCCCAAATGAGGGGGCGTGGCCTGATGGAGGGGGCGTGGCCAACGCGGACGGAACCATTTGGGCAGCGCGCGGGGGGGGTCGGGACGTTCAATTCCGACTTTTTTCCTCATTTTTTTCGCGTTTTTTCCAATTTTTTCCATTTTTTTCCCCATTTTTTCGCCGTTTTTCCCATTTTTTCGCCGTTTCTCCCATTTTTTCTCTCATTTTCGCCCTCCTTTTTCCCAGTGCACATCCAGGAGAACCTGGAGGACGCCCTGGTGCAGGAGGCCCTGCAGACCGTGAGTGGCTCCTCTCCAAAATGTCCCAAAATTTCCACAAATGACCCCAAAAATGTCCCCAAATGTCCCCAAATTGCCGTTCCAGGGCGTGGACCTGCGCCAGTATTCCCGGCAGGTGGAGCTGGAACTTCAGGAAGTGGAAAGAGCCTCGATCCAGGATTGTATCCTCAAAAATTGTCCCCAAAAATGCATCAAAATCACCTAAAAATGGCCCCAAATCCCCAAAAAGTGTCCCCAAAGTGTCCCCTGGGTGTCCCAGATGTCCTCAAACCCCAAAAAATCCCCTAAAAATGCCCCAAAATGCCCTAAAATGTCCCAAAATCCTCTAAAATTGTCCCCAAATCCCCAAAAAGTGTCCCCAAAGTGTCCCCTGGGTGTCCCAGATGTCCCCAAACCTTCAAAAATCCCCTAAAAATGCCCCAAAATCCCCTAAAAATGCCCCAAAATCCCCTAAAAATGTCCCCAAAATTGCCCAGAATTGTCCCCAAAGTGTCCCCTGGGTGTCCCTGATGTCCTCAAACCCCAAAAAGTCCCCTAAAAATGCCCCAAAATCCCCTAAAATGTCCCAAAATCCTCTAAAATTGTCCCCAAATCCCCAGAAAGTGTCCCCAAAGTGTCCCCTGGGTGTCCCAGATGTCCCCAAAGTGTCCCCAAACCTTCAAAAATCCCCTAAAAATGCCCCAAAATCCCCTAAAAATGTCCCCAAATCCTCTAAAATTGTCCCCAAATCCCCCAGAATTGTCCCCAAAGTGTCCCCTGGGTGTCCCTGATGTCCCCAAAGTGTCCCCAAACCCCCAAAATTGCCTCAAAATCCCCTAAAAATGCCCCAAAATCCCCTAAAAATGTCCCCAAAATTGCCCAGAATTGTCCCCAAAGTGTCCCCTGGGTGTCCCAGATGTCCCCAAACCTTCAAAAATCCCCTAAAAATGCCCCAAAATGCCCTAAAATGTCCCCAAATCCCCAAAAATGTCCCCAAATCCCCAAAAAGTGTCCCAAAAGTGTCCCCAAAGTGTCCCAGATGTCCCCAAAGTGTCCCCAAACCCCCAAAAATCCCCTAAAAATGCCCCAAATTCCGCTAGAAATGCCCCAAAATCCCCTAAAAATGTCCCCAAAATTGCCCAGAATTGTCCCCAAAGTGTCCCCTGGGTGTCCCTGATGTCCCCAAAGTGTCCCCAAAGTGTCCCCAAGTGTCCCTTGACCCCTCAGACATCCGGGAGAGCGAGAACATCGCGGAGCTGCACAACCAGATCAGCGCCTGCGACGCCATCCTCGAGGTGACGGCACCAAAATGGCCCAAAATTGCCCCAAAATGACCCAAAATGGCAACAAATGGCCCAAAAATGGCCCAAAACGCACAAAAATGGCGTAAAATGGCACAAAAATGGCCCAAAATGGCACCAAATGGCCCCAAAATGGCATCAAAATTGCACCAAAATGTCAGCAAAATGCCCCAAAATGGCACAAAATGGCACCAAAATGTCTCAAAATGGCCCAAAATGGCCCAAAATGTCACCAAAATGGCCTAAAATGGCACAAAAATGGCCTAAAATGGCACAAAAATGGCCAAAATGGCTCCAAAATGGCTCCAAAATGGCATCAAAATGGCCCAAAATGTCTCAAAATGCCCCAAAATGGCCTAAAATGGCTCAAAATTGCACCAAAATGTCAGCAAAATGCCCCAAAATTGCCCCAAAATTGCTCCAAAATGGCACCAAAATGTCCCAAAATGCCCCAAATGGCACCAGAATGTCTCAAAATGGCCAAAAATGGCATCAAAATGATACAAAATGCACCAAAATGGCACCAAAATGTCCCAAAATGGCCTAAAATGGCCCAAAATGCCCCAAAATGCCCCAAAATGGCCTAAAATGTCCCAAAATGCCCCAAAATTGCCCCAAAATGGCCCCAAAATGGCCTAAAATGTCCCAAAATGCCCCCAAAGGCCACAAAATGTTCTAAAATTGCCCCAAAATTGCTCCAAAATGCCCAAAGGCCACAAAATGTTCTAAAATTGCCCCAAAATTGCTCCAAAATGCCCCCAAATGTCTCAAAATGTCCAAAAAAATGGCCCAAAATGGCTGAAAATTGCCCCAAAATGTCCCAAAATGTCCCAAAATGTCCCAAATGGCACCAAAATGTCCCAAAATGGCCCCATAATGGCCCGAAATGTCCCAAAATGGCCTAAAATGTCCCAAAATGGCACAAAATGTCCCAAAATTGCCCCAAAATGACCCAAAATGGCACCAAATGGCCCAAAAATGGCCCAAAATGGCCCAAAATGGCCAAAAATGGCCAAAAATGGCATCAAAATGGCCAAAAATGGCCAAAAATGGCATCAAAATGATACGAAATGACCCAAAATGTCTCCAAAATGGCCAAAAATGGCATCAAAATGGCCAAAAATGGCCAAAGATGGCATCAAAATGATACGAAATGACCCAAAATGCACCAAAATGGCCCCAAAATGGCCCAAAATGTCTCAAAATGCCCCAAAATGTTTCAAAATGGCCCAAAATTGCCCCAAAATGGCACCAAAATGGCACCAAAATGTCCCAAAAATGTCCCAAAATGGCACCAAATGGCACCAAAATGTCCCCAAAATGGCCCAAAATGGCCCCAAAATGGCCCCAAAATGCCCCAAAATGGCCCAAAAATGTCACAAAATTGCCCCAAAAAACCCAGAAAAAAAATCTCTAAAAAACATGGAAAAAATCCCCAAAAATTCCCAAAAAAATCCCCAAAAATTCCCAAAAAATCCCCAAAAATTCCCAAAAAAATCCCAAAAATTCCCCAAAAAATCCCAAAAAATAAAAAAAAATTCCCAAAAATTCCCAAAAATTCCCAAAAATTCCCCAAAAAATCCCCAAAATTCCAAAAAAAATCCCAAAAAATCCCAAAAAAATCCCAAAAAATCCCAAAAATTCCCAAAAATTCCCAAAAAAATCCCAAAAATTCCCCCAAAAAAACCAAAAAAATCCCAAAAAATCCCAAAAATTCCCAAAAAAATCCCAAAAATTCCCCCAAAAAATCCCAAAAAATCCCCAAAATTCCCAAAAATTCCAAAAAAAATCCCAAAAATTCCCCAAAAAATCCCAAAAATTCCCAAAAATTCCCAAAAAAATCCCAAAAATTCCCCAAAAAAATCCCAAAAATTCCCAAAAATTCCTGAATTGTCCCAGAATGGTCCCCAAGTGTCCCCAAAATCCCCAAACCCTCCTGGAACCCCTAAAAAAATCCCCCAAAAATCCATAAAAAACCCTAAAAATCCCCAAAAAATAAAAAAAAAATCCAAAAAAATCCAAAAAAAATTCCAAAAAAATAAAAAAAAAATCTGGAAAAATTCCCAAAAATTCCTAAAAAGTCTGGAAAAATTCCCAAAAATTCCTGAATTGTCTCTGCATCTCCAAAGCATCTCCAAACCCTCCTGGAACCCCTAAAAAAATCCCCAAAAAATCCATAAAAAACCCCCAAAATCACCAAAAAATCACCAAAAAAATCTGAAAAAAATCCAAAAAAATTCCCAAAAAATTCCGGAAAAATTCCGGAAAATTCCTAAAAAGTCTGGAAAAATTCCCAAGAATTCCTGAATTGTCTCTGCATCTCCAAAGTATCCCCAAACCCTCCTGGAACCCCTAAAAAAATCCCCAAAAAATCCATAAAAAACCCTAAAAATCACCAAAAAAATCCCAAAAAATTCCGAAAAAAATCCGAAAAAAATCCAAAAAAAATCCGAAAAAAATCCAAAAAAATTCCGGAAAAATTCCCGAAAATTCCTGGAATTTTTTCCCGTTGTTTTCAGCGCATGGAGCAGATGCTGGGCTCGTTCCAGAGCTCGCTGAGCTCGCTGAGCTGGGAGATCCGAGCCCTAAAAAAATCCCCTAAAAATCACCAAAAAAATCCAAAAAAATTCCCAAAAATCCCAAAAAAACCTGGAAAAATTCCCAAAAATTCCTGAGTTGTCCCTGCATGTCCCAAACATCCCCAAATCCCTCCTGGAACCCCTAAAAAAATCCCCCAAAAAATCCATAAAAAACCCTAAAAATCACCAAAAAATCATCAAAAAAAAGCCCAAAAAAATCCCCAAAATTCCCAAAAAATTCCCAAAAAATTCCTAAAAAGTCTGGAAAAATTCCCAAGAATTCCTGAATTGTTTCTGCATCTCCAAAGCATCTCCAAACCCTCCTGGAACCCCTAAAAAAATCCCCCAAAAAATCCGGAAAAAATCTGAAAAAAATCAGAAAAAAATCCAAAAAAATTCCAAAAAAAATCCAAAAAAATTCCAAAAAAATCCGGAAAAATTCCAGAAAATTCCTGGAATTTTTTTCCCGTTGTTTTCAGCGCATGGAGCAGATGCTGGGCTCGTTCCAGAGCTCGCTGAGCTCGCTGAGCTGGGAGATCCGAGCCCTAAAAAAATCCCCTAAAAATCACCAAAAAAATCCAAAAAAAAAAAAATTCCCAAAAATTCCAAAAAAAATCCCAAAAATTCCTGAATTGTCCCAGAATGGTCCCCAAGTGTCCCCAACATCCCCAAACCCTCCTGGAACCCCTAAAAAAATCCCCAAAAAATCCATAAAAAAACCCTAAAAATCACCAAAAAAATCCGAAAAAAATCCGAAAAAAATAAAAAAAAAATCAAAAAAAAATCCAAAAAAATTCCAAAAAATTCCCAAAAATTCCTGGAATTTTTTCCCGTTGTTTTCAGCGCATGGAGCAGATGCTGGGCTCGTTCCAGAGCTCGCTGAGCTCGCTGAGCTGGGAGATCCGAGCCCTAAAAAAATCCCCTAAAAATCACCAAAAAAATCCCAAAAAAATCCAAAAATTCCCAAAAAAACCTGGAAAAATTCCCAAAAATTCCTGAGTTGTCCCTGCATGTCCCAAACATCCTCAAACCCTCCTGGAACCCCTAAAAAAATCCCCTAAAAATCACCAAAAAAACCCTAAAAATCACCAAAAAAATAAAAAAAAAAATCCCCCCAAAAATAAAAAAAAAATCCCAAAAAATTCTCAAAAATTCCGGAAAAAATCCCAAAAATTCCTAAAAAACCTGGAAAAATTCCCAAAAATTCCTGAATTGTCTCTGCATCTCCAAAGCATCTCCAAACCCTCCTGGAACCCCTAAAAAAATCCCCCAAAAATCCATAAAAAACCCTAAAAATCATCAAAAAAATCCGGGAAAAATCAAAAAAAAATCCAAAAAAAATCCCAAAAAATTCCCAAAAAATTCCGGAGAAATTCCGGAAAATTCCTGGAATTTTTTCCCGTTGTTTTCAGCGCATGG